TGTCCATTCTCCTTTTTCATCCCTGCTCCTGTCTTTCCAGGCCCTGGGGACTCTGATTTTGGGTGACCAGCACACGCCCCAAACCTGTGTCAGGAAACCTAATAGGGCCTCTTTGGGGACTCGCCCCTTCTCAGCGGCCAGGGGTGTGACAGACAGAGTGTGCTGATCCTCCCTAGAGGGTCCTGGAGAGCCAGAGATTTAGTTTTCCTCCCTCGAGGACACACGGAGAGTGGAGTAAACAGACGCGGACTCTTAAAGGACAAGTCCGAGTTGCAGGAACCCAGCATGCATAGCCCTCACTCCACAGGGAAGTCTGGGTAATGACCAAATCTCCCCCCTGCCCAGCCCCCGCCCCCCATCACCCGGCAGAGGCTGCAGGCTTAGCACAGGGCAGGGCAGCCAGCTCTCTCTGCTCCCACTCCAGCTGTGGGCCGACTCTGCCTGTCCCCAAGGGACAGGGCCCGTGTGGTTACTCCATGTCTCTGGCACCCAGAGCACAGGCTTCTCCTCCCGTTGACTGCAGTCCCCAGACCCTCTGGCTTCGGTCTAAGCTCAGGTGTCCTTCCAGGTCGCCATACCCGAGCCCAGAACTGTCCACACCTCCCTGGCCCCTTCCCCCGGGGCCTTCAGGCAGCTGCTGCTGCTGCTGTTACTGGGGGCCAGCGGGATGAAGTCCTGGGACAGATGTGGTTTGTGTTTTCCAGGCTGCTTGTCCCTGGTGGGCCCCAGATTTGTGACCGGCACCACGGGGGACTCCCTGACCATACGGTGTCAGTATGAGAAGGATTACAAGGGCTATAATAAGTACTGGTGCCGAGGACAATATGACACCGACTGTAACAAGATTGTGGAGACCCAGGGAACAGAGAGAGAAGAGAGAAGTGGCCGTGTGTCCATCAGAGACAACGCTGACTCCCTCACCCTCACAGTGACCATGGAGAACCTCAATGCAGCCGACGCTGGATCCTACTGGTGTAAAATTCAGACAGTGTGGATCCTGGACGCGTGGTCACGTGACCCCTCGTTCCAGGTTCAGGTGTCTGTTTCCCCAGGTGAGAGCTCCCCTTGCTCCTCATGGGATATCAGACTAACTCTCTCAATTGCTTTCCTTCTTCACCTGCAAACTTCCGTGCAGCCTATCCCATTCTTCCCTCTTTCTCTTTTAGGTTGAGGGTAAAGTTTTCTCCCCCAGTTCAAAAGCAATACTCCTGTGTCTGGCTTCTCACCCCTGGCTCCTTGCCTCCCATCCCTTGGGCCAAATCCCCTCTTAGCTGATCCGTATCCTTTCTCCATCCATTGTCTACACCCTCCCCAATCCTCAGCCTCTTCCTCATCACTGCTCTTCGCCTCCGCCTATCGCCTGTGCATGTCAGCTGGTAATCCTGCGGCCTCCTCCACCGGCCGCTGTTTCTCCTTCCCTCCTTCCCACTGGCCTGGAAGGTGGATGAGGTGCGCTTCCTCCTCGATGCTCCAGCGGTGCCTGGTGGGGTCCCACCCAGGGTCCACACTTTCCATTAAAGCGAGTCAATTGGTCTGTGTAGGTGTCTCTGCCTCTCTGTAAGGGCAGGGATGGTGCCACATCCATCAACAAGTCCCCGACAGCAAGGACCTCAAAGGCTGTGGTTGGAAACCTGAGCCTGTGTGGGGTGCTCTGTGAAGGGCTGAGACCCGGATGACTGCTTTTTAGGGGACATCAAGAGGCTCGGATAGAGTGGAGCTGGGGCTGTAAGTTATGCCAATAGTCTGAACACCCGAGGTCCTGGGGAGAAACTGGGTGACACCTACCCAGCTTTGGGTAAAGTGGCTTTAGTTTCCATATAAATGGCGCTCTGAGCCCCTCCCACATTCTCTATGAGGCTCTGAGCCATCTTCATCCAGAATCCCCCCTCCGGGGTTCCTCATCAGGCTGGGGAACCCCTGAGGGACCCCTGGCCTCACCCCTGGTAGAATCAGACTTGGGGTGGAGGGAACAACCTGGCACTTACTAGAGGTGACTCTTGGCTGGATCTAGAAAAGTCTCATTAGTCCCTGAGGGGCGCCACCCAGGATGTGGCCTGGGTTTGGCTTCAGGCTATCTCTTGAACCGCGCCTCCCCCTCTCCCACCCTCACCCCCGCCCCAAGATTCAAACAGCTGCGTGGTGCGTGGCTGGGGAGACAGCAATGCGTGATGTGTGATTTTACCTCCAGCACCTCCTACGACCACAAGACGGACCACACATCCAGCCACACCTGCCACGTTCCCCGCGGAGACCGCTGGGCAGAATTTCAGCACCAACCACTGCCCAGGGTAAGGGCCCAAGGCCCGGAGGCCATGCAGGAGGAGGGCCAGCAGCCTATGGGACCCTGTGGCGGGGGCTGAAAACACACCATGTCTTTTCTTCCTCACGTCCGTGGGTTTCCCTCCAACTCAGGTCCTGATTTTCACATGGGAATTCTGAGTGGAAAATGTCACTGGTTCTGTGTATGCTGCCCCGTGGGGCAGTTGCGGGGACACAGGAGGAGGCGGGTTCAGGTGGCGGTGCAGTCCCTTCTCCCAGCCCCACCTTTCCCCTCCTCCTCCCTGCTCTGTGCTGGACTCGGGAACCTGGGCTCGCTCCGACGGCCTTTCTCTACTGGAGTCCTGCTCCTCCCACCAGCTGCCTGTGCGTTTGTTGGGGGACAGGCTGGCTCCAGGCTGGAGTTTGGACCCATTAGCCTCCCAAGGATACTAAAGAAAGGCTGGGATGCTGCTGCCTGCCCCTGAGGGGAGGGACAAGGGCTTACGGTGTGTGTTTCAAGACGTCATTGGTAAAGGGGAAGCTGGGAGGTGGGAGGGGGGGGGGGGAGAGGGAGAGAGAGAGAGAGAGAGAGAGAGGAAGCAGGGAGCATGCTCAGAAAGCAGGCGCAGCCTGGTTCCTCTTCTCTCTTTTCTCCATCGGCCCCCTGGGAGAGTCCCAAGGGCAGGTCTGGACCAAGGAGGAGAGGTGGCAGGGGCCCTAGAAAGGGGCCCGGGAGTGGGTCCCTTCTAAATTGGATTCTGAGTGATTTGGGCTTTAGAATCGGCACAGGGAGAAGCAGGGACAAAAGGGGCCCGGGGCCTCCCCGTGAGGGGCATTTCATTCCCCATCACCGTGTCCCTCACAGGGTTCCGCTCAGCACTGTCCACTTCCTGCTCCTGATCTTCCTGAAGCTGCCCCTGTTCCTGGGCGTGCTCGGTGCTGTCCTTTGGGTGAGCAGGTGTCAGAAGGGCCCCGGAGGCGGACAGAGTCGGCCTGACCAGGGGACTCCACCACGCCGCCCACCAGCTCCGGGAAAGCCCTGTCCAGGAATCCAGACCTTCCGACCGGACCAGAGAGACCTGCGGGCTCTGCACTCCAGGGCAGGGAGGCAGCCGTGCCCGGACTCTGCAGGGACCTAAGCCTTTGGAGGGTATTGTTCCTGTGTCTTCAGGGGCTCCTGGATCTCAGAGGACACCCTCTCAGGGGAGAAAGATGAACCTTCGGGTCCCTGTGTCTGGTCCTCCTCTCTCCGTCCCAGATCCTCAAGTATTCTCTGGAGGTTGCATGCTCAGAAGCCTGGCTCTTTATTCTTCTCTGTGGCACAAAAGCTTAGCTCAGTATCCCCCAGGGCAATACCACCTCCTCCCTGCAGACAGGAGGCTCCTGCCTGCCCAGGACTGAGGCCTGGGACCGTATGGCGCCCTCAGCAGGCTTGGGAACTGACCTCCGGCACGCCCCTCACAACTTCAGTCCTTGAGCTCCCTGGGCTCCATGGTCCCCTCTTCTCAGGGTCCCACACCTCGAACACCACGAGAACGGGGCGTCATTTACAGACACAGGAGAGGCAGGCGCAGGCCTGAGTGATGCATAGCTTAGATTTCTCTGTGTGACCAAGCAGAGAAATCTACCAGGAAGCCAGAGACGTGGGTTAACAGAGCATTGACGTCGGAGAGAAGACGGATGCAGAGGTGAAACCCTGTAAACTCATCGATCAGTTCTAGCAGTTTTTTGGTAGATTCCTTGTGATCTTCTACAGAGAAAAGCATTGCGCAAGAAAGACACTTTTATTTCTTCTTTCCTAATGGATATGCTTTAATGGCGTCCTGGAGTCCCCAGGGAGCCCCTGGAAGCTTTTAAGCACTCGGGTGGCCATCGGGAGCATGTGGCATCGGAAATCCATGGTTTTCAGGCATTTAAACTTTTAAACGAGAAGCCAGAAGTGAAATTCCTCCTGTCTGGCATCAAACTCCATTAAAAATATTGTGATCAAAATGGAACGTGCTTTCGAATCCCTGCCAGCCATGGGTGCAGGATGTCAGCTCTGAGTGAAGCGGAGAAATCATAGAGCATTGTTGCGTCTGCCCAGTATTTACGGCTGGGACCATATGGCGCCCTCAGCAGGTGTAAGAACTGAGCTCCTCCCTGCACAGATGGGCCTGCGGGGACCACATGCGGCCCGTCCCCGGCTGGCTCAGGCCAGGTCCAACTCTGCTCCCCTGGGGAGCAGCAGCCTCGCCCTTCAGGTCTCCTTGTTCTCACATGTGACATGAAGATGCTGGGTTAAGACTTGCACGGGGGCAGTTTTAACACATGGATGAGCCTGACCGGCATAGCCCAGTGGTTGAGCGTCGTCCTATGAACCAGGAGGTCGAGATTTGATTCCTGGTCAGGCACATGCCCAGGTTGTGGGCTCGATCCCTGGTTGGGCGCACGCAGGAGACAGCCAATCAACGACTTTCATCATTGATGTTTCTATCTCTCTCTCCCTTCCTCTCTGAAATAAATAAAAATATATTAAAAAAAAAACCATGGATGAAAGTTCCTTAACCCTCCTCCTCCTATGAGTTGGGTTTATGTCCCCTCCCGGAAGTCTGTGGGCAGTGGCTGCTTCAACCAGGAAACACAGCAGGTTCCTCTATGCTTTTCCCATCATCCTCTTTCTAAGGAACCTGTTTAGATACCTTCTTTTTCTGAAAGTCCCCCCCATCCCACAACATTTTAACAACAGAGATATGCTTTTGACAAAACTAGTCATCTCTCCACCACCTCTATTAGTATCTTGACTGAGATGACAACAACCTAGGTGTTTACCCTTAAAAGAACTTATTAAACCATAAACTTAGCGTGTGAAGACTAATTTTTGAGATATAAACACACCTCAATAATTACTTTTAAAAAATATAGAAAATAACATTTTAAAAGTTCTCTTAAAAAGTCCCCATGGCCCTAGCAAGTTTTGCTCAGTGGATAGAGGGTTGGCCTGCAGACTGATGGGTCCTGGGTTCGATTCCAGTTAAGGGCACATACCTGGGTTGCAAGCTCCAGTCCCAGCCCTGATGGGGCGCATGCGGGAGGCAACCAATCCATCTGTCTTTCTCTCACCCATGTTTTTTTCTCTCTCTGTCTCTCCCCCTCCCTTCCACTCTCTCTAAAGAATCAAAGGAAAAATATCCTAGAGATTAACAAAAACAAACAAACGTCCCCATGCCTTCCTTTATTCACTCCTAGCCTTCGATTACAGTTTGCATCTACACAGGGGGTCCTAGTTGCGACCTCTCTGGCGGTGGGGGCGGGGGCACGGGACACGGACGGACAGAAAGATATTTGCCAGGCTCCTCCCCTCGCCCCTCCCCTGGCTCACAGGTACATCCTGTGAGACACACCTGACCCTGGTGCTTGATTCAGGCTCCCTTCACGCCCTCTCGAATGTATGGAAACAGTGCAGCAAACAATATCATCTCAAAGAGCCCAGGAAATCCATGGATGCAATAGGAACACACAGGAGACATATCGGTGTGAGCTGGGCGATGGTCCAGCCCTGTCTCTGATCGTCTGTGCTCAGATGATTCTACAGAAGGTCCCGATGCAACAGGAGGTGCGGCCAGCAGCCCTCTGACACCTCCTGTGGTGATGGCGGTAGCGGCGGTGGTGGTGGTGGCGGCGGTGGTGGTGGCGGCGGTGGGGGGCGGTCCTTGCCCTCATAGACACACTCTGAGCTTTGGGGTTTAATTCAGGTTTTGTACCTATCAGTTGGTCTGGACTCTTGATTCCATTACTGGCCAGAGCTCTAGACAGTGTTCGTGGTCCATGACCCGGGGCAGAGCCACAGCCGAGTCACAAGGAAACGGGGCATCCACACAGGCAGGACAGCAGGTGACCGAGGGCCCAGGGCGTGAGGGGAGCACCTCGCTCTTCCTGTCTCCGCTCCTTCGGTGGAGACCGGGGTGCGGAGCTGAGCTGAGAGGGGGCAGCTGACTGTTCCCGGGGCCAGGATGAGGGGGTCCTCAGGGCAGCAGGCGCCCTCGTCTCTCCTGGAACTGCAGCCACTGGCCACCCCTGATAAGACGGCAGGGGCTTCTGCTAGTCCCAGGCGAGGGTCTCGATGGCGTGGGGATGGCCGTCTCCTGCGAAGACCGACTTATTTCCCCTTGGGGTCGCCCTGGCTCCTGCTCAGCCACATCAGCGCGCACAGCAGGCACCCCAGCAGGGGCACCTTTATGACGGTCAGGAGCACCACGGGCAGGTTGCAGAGCAGGAACCTGTGCAGGAGCGTGGCCACAGGGGTGAGACTCTTCTGGGGCAGCCCCCATCCCGCTCAAGCACCCCCACCTCCCACAGCTCAGCCTGGGTGACAGGCAAGCCCCGGTCTCTGTCCTGGCCAGGAAGGCCCCTCTGAGGGCTAAGCTGCAGGGGCCTCCCTGTGTCTGTTTCCTTCCTGCCTTTTGGCTCATCTCCCACAATTCATTGCAGCTCACCCGCAGTCCAGCCAAGCTTTATTCTACTGTTCTCTCCACCTCCACCTCCCTTGGTACATCCTGCCCGTCTTTGAAGCTCTGGTCTTTGAAGCAGAGGGAGGGTCCCCTACCCTGTGAGCACGGCTTTCTCTGCTGGGCTCTCCTGGGAGGGTCCTCTCGCGGCCCTGACCCCCCACCTAAGGGCACAGGTGAGGTGCACTGGACCAGGTCTCCCTCTTGGTGGACACTTGGCCCAGTTAGACCATTGGGCCCCGGGTTCCTATCCGGGTATAAGAATCTGATCCTCTCGCCCTACGCCTCATCCCCTCTGCTAGGGCCCCCGTCCCCGCAGGCACCCCTGCCCTGTCCCCGCAGGCACCCCTGCCCTGTCCCTCAGCCTGCCTGTCCCTCAGCCTGCCTGTCCCTCAGCCTGCCTGTCCCTCAGCCTGCCCTGTCCCTCAGCCCGCCTGTCCCTCAGCCTGCCTGTCCCTCAGCCTGCCCTGTCCCTCAGCCCGCCTGTCCCTCAGCCTGCCTGTCCCTCAGCCTGCCCTGTCCCTCAGCCCGCCTGTCCCTCAGCCTGCCTGTCCCTCAGCCTGCCCTGTCCCTCAGCCCGCCTGTCCCTCAGCCTGCCTGTCCCTCAGCCTGCCCTGTCCCTCAGCCCGCCTGTCCCTCAGCCTGCCTGTCCCTCAGCCTGCCCTGTCCCTCAGCCCGCCTGTCCCTCAGCCTGCCTGTCCCTCAGCCTGCCCTGTCCCTCAGCCCGCCTGTCCCTCAGCCTGCCTGTCCCTCAGCCTGCCCTGTCCCTCAGCCCGCCTGTCCCTCAGCCTGCCTGTCCCTCAGCCTGCCCTGTCCCTCAGCCCGCCTGTCCCTCAGCCTGCCTGTCCCTCAGCCTGCCCTGTCCCTCAGCCCGCCTGTCCCTCAGCCTGCCTGTCCCTCAGCCTGCCCTGTCCCTCAGCCTGCCCTGAGCAGGTGAGTCATGCTGATGTCACTGACGGTTTCCTGGAGGGAGAGAGGCGTGCGGTATCACACACCCTAAAAATACCCACTGCGCTCTCTTCACAAGTCCTGCTCCCTGCGGCACCCATCGCTCCCCCGCCGTTTCCTCCTGTGCCTCTCCAGCCTCGATAAATGCCCTGCCTTCTGCACCCTCCACTCGACGGAACAGCCGCTCTCCAAACAGGACAAAGCCAGGTCCTGAAGCAGGCCCCCAGAGCCTCGCCCCATTCAGACTCGGCACTATGGTTGAAAACATCCAACTCTCAACATCCTGGGAGGAAAAAAAAAAACTGACCCATGCATCCAACACCTTCATGTAGGCGCGGCTATAGGGTTAAGCCTCAGACTGACCTGTTGACAGAGCCACAAACAATGCCCAGCTTAGAGGGCACAGCCCTCTTAGCATAATTAGGCTTGACCTTATGGCGCTCCCTAGATATTATCTGGGGAGGGAAATGCAGCAAGTGCTGCCAGAACAAGTGAAACTCACAAGAACATTGTAACTATGGTGACCACTTCCTTGTTTACCTCTGGCTATAAAATAAAGGCTCAGCTTGCTGTCTGGGTCTCTCTCTGTGGCCTCAGCCAGGCACAGGAAGAGCCACCTACACCCAGCTATTCTCCCTGTCTGTCTTTTCTACATCCTTCGCCCCCGCCACCCGCCCCTCAGGCTCACCAAACCCTTGGCTGAGCTGGCCCAGTACAGAATAGGACCCTTGAGGAAGGAAGGGGATGGGCTGGAGCAGGGGAGTGAGCCGATGGAGGGCGGTCCTGAGAGGCTGGACCCCGGGTGAGAAGGGAACCTGACCCTGGATTTTGGGGAGCCCCCCAGGCTGTGATGGGATGAATGTGGGCTTGGGGGTGCTTGCCCTTTGATAGAACTCATTGACTGTCCTTTGGGAGCCCTGAAGGGTGTGGACTTCAGGTTGATGCCCTCAGCTTCCCACCCCTTCCTCTCATCGCCCCAGCATTTGGGGAGAGAAGGGCTGGAGCAATGAAGCATGTATCTACCCGTGACTGTGGCAGAATAATGATCCCCAAAGACACCCTAACCCCCAGAACCTCTGCATATGTTATGTTACATGGCAAAGGGGAATTCAGGCTGCAGGTGGACTTAAATCACTAATCAGCTGACAGAGGTGGGGTGATTATCCTGGGTTATCTGGGTGGATCCCAAGTAATCACCAGGCTCTTTACAGGTGAGAGTGGGGCCAGGAGCCAAGGAATGTGGGCGGTCCCTAAAAGCTGGAACAGCCAGGGGATCCTTCCCTTAATCTCCAGAGGAACTCAGCCCCGTCAACACCTTGATGTTAGCTCAGTGAGCCTCACTTCAGACTTCTGACCTCCAGAACTATTCGACAACGATTTTGTTGTTTTAAGCCACCGAGTTAGCAGCGATTTGTTACAGCAGCCGCAAGACACTAATACAGCAGACCTTCCTTCTAGCGCACTTAGGCTGAACCCCACTACACCTCCTTTTGCTTCCTGGGGGGTGGGGAACCAGAGGGAGCCAGAGCCTGTAGCCCCATGGAGGGCTTTGCTTAGGTTCCACGCGGGGAGTGGGGGGCCCTTTAAGCATGCAGAGGTCAAAGGGAGCCGTGGAGGCGCAGTGCGGGCTCTGCTGTTTCTCCCCTGCACGGGGCACATCAGAGCGGCGCCGTGGGGTCCCTGACCGAGCGTCCCTAGGGGAGCAGTCACAGGGCGGCAGCGGGGAAGGTCTGCAGGGGCCCAGCTCTGCTCACCTGGTGAGGGATCTGGTGAGAGCCATGCTGCCGTTGCTGCTCTGGGCGATTGGAGGCGAGGTAGCCAGACCGACCGAGGTGGGTGTTGTCACAGGTACAGCCGGGTATGGTGACGTCAGTTCAGTCATATCTGTTGTCTCAAGGTTAGCCGGGTATGTTGTCTCAAGTTCAGGCGGGTATGTTGTCTCAAGTTCAGGCGGGTGCGTTGTCACAGGTAGAGCTGCATATATGTTAACGTAAGGTCAGCCATGTTTGTTGACACAGGTCTAGTTGTTTTTGGTGACAGAGGTACCGTCGAGTTTGCTGTCTGCGCGTATGTTTAGTGGGAACAGAGAGGTGTGGTTTCCCTGATTCCCAGAGTGGAGACGAGACCGAGGGCTCAGGAAGCGGACCTGTGGGCGGGGCTCCCACCTGACTCTCCTTCCAGGTCTCTGACCCAGGGAAGCTCAGGTGCTTCCGGGGCAGGTGTGGCTGAGCCCAGAGGCCCCTTCAAGGCTCAGAGGCAGCCACGGGAGGCCTGTGGGAGGCCCCTGCCCTGTGGTGAACCCTTCCCTTCCGCCACTAATGAGGTCAGAGTCCCTCGCCCCCTCCTTTGCTCTTAATATGTTTTTAAAAATTGATTTTAGAGAGAGGGGAAGAGAAAGAGAGAGAGAGAGAGAGAGAGAGAGAGAGAGAGAGAGAGAGAGAGATCAATTGGCTGCCTCCCATATAGGTTCCCACCAAGGATCAAACCTGAAACCTGCCCTAGCTGGTTTGGCTCAGTGAATAGAGCATCGGCCTGCAGACTGAAGGGTCCCAGGTTCAGTTCTGGTCAAGGGCACAAGCCTGGGTTGTGGGCTTGATCCCTAGTAGGGAGCATGCAGGAGGCAGCCAATCAATTCTCTCTCTCCCTCTTCCTTCCTCTCTGAAATCAATACAAATATATTAAAAAACAAACAAACAAACAAAAAACCTGAAACCTAGGTATGTGTCCTGACGGGGAATTGAACCGGTGACATTATGGTGCATGGGATGACGCTCAACCAGCTGAACCACACCGGCCAGGGCTTCTTTGCTCTTATGGAGCCAGAGGAGGGAGAGGAAGGGGGTGGGGGCAGGGAGAGGGCTGAGACAATCGGATAATGGCTTCCAGCACCCCACTCCTCCCTGCACAGCCCACAAGGCACGCCCCCACCCTGTCGGTGGTCGGTCAGGCTGGGGCTGCCCTGAGGGTAGAGGCAATGCCAGAAAGGCCTGGAAAAGAGGAACCCCCTCCCTTCACAAGCCTGCCCAGTCCCGTCGGCCCTTCTCTGCCCCCTGGTGACACTAGATGGAGGCGCGCAACACACGGGTGCACACACACGTGTGGTCTCCAGCCTCCTCCCCACCCGTCAGTGCAGACAGAGGGAGCGTTCTGCCTGCTCCATGGTTGGTCCCAGGCTCTGAGGACAGGAGGGGCAGGTCCTACCTGGGCCAACATACACGCGCACTTGGTGCCCCAGGTCGGTTCCTGACTTCTC